TTAATGGNGCTGCACAGCTGAATAGAGAAGGTATAATCTTCTTTAAGAGTGTACAACTACTGGCGCACGCCGATGATATTGACCTTATCTGCCTCAACAACCACGCCGTTAATTTTGTTTTCTGCAGGCTTGAAAAAGAAGCGAGGCGAATAGGTCTGGTAGTGAACGAGGACAAGACGGGATTCTCCTGTCGTCAAACAAACAGCCATCGCGTTCGCGACTTGGCTCCCACGTCATTGTTGACAGTAATAATTTTGAAGTCGTAGATAATTTCGTATTTCCAATGGGCGCCAAGGAGCAAAGAGAAGAAAAGCATAGCGCACAGTTTTAAATAGGCTACAATCGCTTAAATGGTGTCTCGCTAAACGCTCTTTAACGCGTACACCTGTGCATTCAAAACACTAAATGGTTTTCTTGGCCGAACAACTGGCTTCATCATCACTGCTAAAGCTTGCTTCGCTGTTTTTTAATGGACTTATGATCGACCACGATTCTGCGTCATATAGTAGGACTCGGATTCGGATTTCTAGATAGACAAAACTATCTAAGACCTCAAAGTAATGACTGTCAACATTGACATGATAGCCGATTCGCGAATGCCGTGACTGTTTGTCTGATGACAGGAGAAGTTTTGTCTTGGCCTTGTTCACTACCATAACTCTCTCTTTTCCGGAGAAAGCAGGGTTTCGAGCTCATCATCTCAGAAGGCTCCATGTTCACTGGCATTCAGCAGACTGGAGAAGTGTTGCCTTTATAAATTTAATATGCTCTAGGCATCGGTGGCTAGATCACCTCTTTGTGTCCTAAAGGAGTTTGCTGCGGTCTTGAAACTTTATATAAGTCATCTAATCTTCTTATAGAATTTTCGAGCATAAACTTTATCGGCCAGCGTCTCAAGTTCTTCGTACTCACGCATCTAGGTCTCTCTCTTTTTTGGTCTGCATATGCGTATTGCTTCCTTCTTAAGTTCTTGTCATCTATCCCATCTCGCATGTGTAGTTTTCGATTGCAAGGCTGCGAAGTAGCACGGCAATCCTCATCGTGCCAGTTGTTTTTGCGACCTTGGTCTATGAGTCTTTAAAAGCTTGATCGCTACTTCGATTGCACTAGGTGGACGGCGTAAGCGGCTTGTTGGCTCACCGCCATTTGGCATTTGATTTGCACCATAAGAAAGCAAGAGCGCTAATTGCGACATCAGTTTTTCTTTTACAAATCTTTTTGCCTTTTTCGGGCTGATTATATATATATTAATACATTAATTCATTAAAACCACAAATTGCAGGAGGATCTCGGTCGAAAAAATCACTTCAACGGTTAAGAAGCGCCAATTATACTTATATACATTAAAAAAATGTGTTATATTTCAACAAATCATAATAAATTTTACTTTTGACAGCCATTCAAACTCATCTTTCATGAAAGCTTTTCATCAATGGTATAACTCCCAGCGTCAGACTTGAGAGAGATATTTCGGTTTTTTTTTTCACTATGTAGAATTACACACCGAAACAAAGGTTTGAAATAGTGACACTTTGCATCGAAGACAGTTCCATTGTGCTTACTCAACGTGCATATCGGTAAAAAATATCGCGGCAAAAAGGCGCCATCTAACATATCACCTGATTTAACCCCCGGGACTTCTTTTTGTGGGGTTATCTGAAAAGCAAGGCTTACGCCAACCAGTCTCAAACTATTGATGAGCTCAAGGCAAACATTCGTGCTGAAATCGACGCTATAATACCCGAGACGCTCAAAAAGGTAATGGCAAACGCAGAAAAAAGGAGTTATTTTTTAATTGCTAATGAATTGATATTTTTTTTAAAAACTAGTCCAAAAAAATTGTAAGAAACCGAGCTGAATAAAAATACATTTCTTATGTAAATCGGTCTTTTTACAGGTTTATTCAATGTTTACATACCAACAACACTTCCGTCTCGGTTTCCTTCTTGCCTTTTTAACTTATACTATTATACGTCTGGATATGACAAAATATTGACCTTGTACTTTTAATATTGCCATTGATCTCTTCATGTAATTCATTCTCGCGTACCAAATCGAAATTATTAATATTGCGGGTATGGGTATAATGTCCATCCAATCCATCGTCTCTTGGAAGTTTTAAAAAACTTTAAAAAATGTTGAATTACTATGTAAGTATATAAACCTCATGCATGCACCAGTCTGCTTCGTAATTTCTGTTCCATTACTTGTCTTATCTACATTCCAATAGCTAGCTTGATGTATTTTTTGGGCTGGAAACTAGTGCTAGATACAACCAATTTCGGTACCCGGCGAAGTCGAAGCATCAACCCCTTAGTGGATGTTTCGTAGTGAAGGCTGAATTTTCCAAAAGTCGTATCTTCTTTTCCCACCCTGGCATTAAAATCGCCAAGCACGATTTTCACATCGTGTAGGGACAGCGCTCATAAGTTTGCCCTAGGCGCTCAAAAGGGGCATCTTTTGCCGTGTCGTCTTTCTCTTTTGTATGGGCGTGGCCTAAAATCAACGATTAAATCAAAAATTTCGCTTTGATGCGGATTGTGAAGAAACGCTTATCCACCGGTGTGAATGCCAGTACTCGACGACGGAGTCTCTCTCCCACCACAAATTCAACACCAAATTTGCGCTTCTTTATTTCGCAGCTGTAGGCAATGTCTCAAGGACTTACTCGTTTCCTTAACCGTAACCCAAGGCTCCACAAGGGTAATTGTAACATTATACCCAAAAGCTTGACTACACCCCATTATACCCCAGTGGAAGATAAATGTTTTTATTATCGGTTATAAGCTGGGGATGAAGTATTTGTTTTGTAGTATTCGGGTCATAAGCTGCTTTTCAGAATGAAGATTGGTAGTATGAAAAAAATCTATTAAATTTGAGCAAAACCGCGCGAGCCCATTGACACGCATAATGTCCATCGTATCAAGCATTGGATTGAGGGTAAGGACTTTGCTCTTTTTGCTTCTTGATCCGAGTGTTCGAGTAACGAGATTTCGTCTTTAGAATAATTTTGTTGGGCTATCAGTTTATACCTGGCTTCAGTGAGCTCTTCTTGAGATAGTAGCTGTGTGTTGGATTTAGGTAGCCTTTTGCAATGATTAGTAAATCGATATATGTATGCAACGACTCTTAGTGCACGTGGAAACGACTCTTGTGTCTTCAGTGGTATGAAAAGATTACAGTCTTCTCAACTCTGGGATGCTAGATGTATGCGGTCAGGAGTTTGTGGGCCATTCCGTTTAGATAACAATGATGCACTCTTTCATCAGAGAATGCTTAAGGGCAGATCTCTGGGCTAGCAACCGCGGCTGCCTAAGTCTGCTGGATTGTCGTGATTAGAAACATGCCGCCATGCAGTGTATTCACGTTATCCAAAATTTGAGTCGTTCTCTGATAGAATTCGCTTCACAAGCTTAGAAAGAAAAACTAGCACGGAGAGCTCAAATCTGGACAGACTAACCTTTCGGAGTGGTGCTACCTTGCTTTTAGCGGCAAGTAATGACGTTGCGAAAGAGTTTTCGCTTAGTGATGCATTTCGCAGGCGCAAAATGTCCGAAAATCCATGAATTTCAAAACTCTGAGTTGGCGTGAACTGCACCCACCTTAGAGTTCTATTTATGTAAAGCACCTGCTTTGCTTGTTTCATCACAAGCCGTTTCCTCCATCCAGAGTTGTTGGAGGAGGATTTTAGATATAGGTTTTATTGGCGATAGCCATCTACATTTTGTAGATCTGAGTGTGAGATGGATTCTGAAATGCTTGAATAGGTGGCTGTAATTTTCCATACTGCAACTCGTGCTGACTTTAGAGTTTCGATCAACTGTGACATAATTCCGATAGTGTGACCTTCAAAGAGTATATCATCTACGTATGTACCTCGTAAAATCATGTTATTGAGGGAAAGAGCTTTTGAAATCTTCTGCGAGCTGATGTAGAGTTCGGATTGCCAAAAAAGGAGCATATATTGGTTCTTTAGATGAGAGCAGGAAAGTCAGTTTTCACAATATTTGTGTCCCTGCAAAATGATCGGTTGCCTTTTCTGCAATGCGTGCGTATTTCGTTGTAGTTAGCTTTGCAATTCTAATAAAAGATGCGAAGGAAAGTTATCATTTATTCTTCGAACCAAAACTCAAGCGGATAGACGCACGTTTCGATGTTACTCTCGTACTCTCGTACTCTCGACATAATTTGCTTTGCTACTATCGCTTGCCATTGGTAGGTCAAAATGCGCGCTCTTAACATTTAGGCGCTTATTTAGCAAAACTTATATCAAATATGAACTAGAAATAATAGAACTTATTGCATTGGTTGCTTTTCGTATGTTGAAATGTTGTTCGACATATGGTGCTCCCACATCTATATATATAACAGTTTATACTAAGCCGCCTCCGAACGGCTGATAGTTTTTACGAGGAGCTTTATTTCATGTTCGAAATAAACTCGGAGGGGTAGACATTTCCTGCCGAGGAGCGAAACTATACGAATAATAAATTTTCTCAAAAAATATCTACGGTTGGTGCACTCTGTGGTTAGGAGGTGTAACTAGACCTTAATTCTTTGAAAAGCAAAACGACGAGACGAGCACTATTTATTCGGAGCGTTACGGTGATATGATAAGGATAACCGACTTGTTTTTTCACCTGCAATTAAATAACGACTTAGACAATATGTGGCTTTCGCAAATGGATAATCTTATATATCTACTTTTTTAGTTTTGCAGGAAAAATTTACATGGGTCTCTAATAGTGGTGATCGGGTTTCGGTTTCGAGTCTACAAAGTCTAACGGAGATCGAAGCGAAAATTTTGCAGTAGGTTGCCATAGAAAAAATAAGTGAGCTGAATTTGGGTGTAAATGTATCCTTAGGTATGTACAACTAACAAAAATTAGTCTTATAGATATGTAAGTAACGCAGTATAATAATGCATACATTTAGTGAGAAGTGTAAGACGGTGCATTCTTGTAAAAGAAATTAAATTTTTCTCACCTTTGCACCCCTGCTGAACAGCGCGTGGGTTTCGTGAGGATCTGTAGGCTTGCGATCGAACGGTGCTCCTCCGGCAACAGCCGCCGCCACAATTATATCAGTAACCTGAAGACTGAGTTCTTGCAGTAAAAACTGATTAAGCAAATAGTTTTAACCCATTAACGTCCAAGCGGAAACTACGCATGTCAATTAATTTTGGTTGTTGTTTATTATGTCATAAGTGATAGAATAACAGGTTTACAAAAGAAAAATAAATAATTGTCAAATCATCATTTCCAGCATGTAAGTAAATATAATATTACCCACCACCACTTTTTTCTTCTTATCGACGCTCGGTATAAGCTAAATTTACCAGTCCTTTAATCGACGCCGCCCATAGCCTTATTATAATTCAGTAACGTCCTTCGTCTTTTTTTTTTTTTGTCGAGTTGGATCGACAAAAGTATCGCCGGCGTGTCGAATAAAAATAAAACAAGAATTTTTAAATTTACACCTTATAAATATGCTTTTATTTATTTATTAATATGCAAATGCATATGTGTATGAGTGTGTATAAGAAAAATTCAAGTTAATTGTTTTGTATAACAATATTATATATTTATTGGGTAGGGTTAGTGTGTTTTTTTAATATTTAATATGATCTGTGGGTAGATAATGGGTGTATGCATTAATTAGTGCGGAGAACTTTATAGTGAAAAAATGATTTTAATCGTGAGGGAACGGTTGCTTGATCGGTTGCTCCTAATACTTTTGCAAGTTCTTCTTGCAACTGGCATGCATTTGCGTTGAGCAATGTCTCCAATTCGTCTTCTTGAAATTTTTTGTCTGCCCGTCGTCTAAGCCGAAATTGTCACTTTTAAACCCTGAAAACCACTTTTGGCCGATCGTTCGGCTAAAGCATGGTCACCATAAATGTCCAGTAAAATGCGATGGCTTTCGGTAGCACTTTTCTTCATGTTAAAGTAATGAAGAAGAACTCCCCACAAAAACACTTTATCTGGTACAAATTTCGACATTTTCAAATGAATGAAACATATTATTGTTCACGCTAAAACAAATGACATCAATTAAAAACGACGCGAAATGAATATACCTTTCAATGGAATATAGTCACAAATGAACACGACGCGAAATAATAATATTAAGGTCCTCCCTTAGAAAACCGCACGAATTAATGCATACACCCAATATTATTTTTTCAACGATGCGGTTGTTGTTGTGTGGGTTGCGCTGCACTTCGCTACTTACACTGCATTTGTTTTCGTTGTTTTTCAAAAACTATATATAAATCTCTGTTGTGTGCTTTTGCATTGTCCACTATTCGCTTTGGGTACAATGCAGGGAAGTGTTTATTGGACATAAACATCCTAGTCGCCTTGCAGGATCTGAGAATAAAAATTTGGATTAAAATTACAATTTAAAGAAATGGAGTAGGAGGAGAATTCAAATGAGTTCTTTGAATACTTAGGGTCGGCTTCAAATTGTGCCGGCTAAGGCTCAACCGAATCCGGTGCTTTGAGCGACTACTGTTACATTATTGAGGTTGAACAAGCCGGGTCGGATGATTTGCGGGTTGATATCTGCTCTCAGTTTGAGCATTATTTTGTCTGTCCCTTGCCCCTTGTCTCTTCTTCAGCAAACTTTGGGTGACCGTGTATCGTAGAATGGTACTCTACATTACAAGTAGAACACCTAGTCTTACTAGTGTAGTCTCGGGTTTTGTGTGAACGGGCCAAACAGCTCACGCAGTACTTGTGTCGTGTAATAGTGCCAAACTTTTCTCCGACATTCATTCCAATGTACTTGTAGCATGTCGCCAAGCGATGGTCCTTTTTGCAAAATCCGCAGGCAACGCACTCATAAGCGGGTTTCCAGTTCCACTTCAAATGGGTTATAGTATGTTGTGTTGTGCGATGAATATAGTCGTTTTCCTCTGTCGCTCTGAATCGTTGTAGCCGTCTGGTTAGGGTTCTTGGTTCGGATATCGGGCTGACGCTTCGACTGCTGCTTCGCGAGCGCACAGGGATAACTGGACTGTGTTCTCGAGGGTCTTTTGCCTTAGAGGGTGCCTTGATACTGTAAATGGGAATACAATATTAGTGTGAAGGTATTTCCACTTATAATGCTTGTGGAGTTCCTTTAAGTATTCTTCTTTCCATCGAATACAGAAGTGTTGATGGAATATCTTTAGTTTCAGCCATCTATTCACGGTACTGAGCTTTGCGTCTTCTAGGTGAAGTTCAGGTCGGGAGAGTAACGGAGTACCGATTAGGCAATGACTTGTAGTTAAAAGTTTTAAACTTGTAGGGACATCGCTGATGGGGTTTAGGGGGCGAGATTCAAACAACTTCCGATTTTTGTTAAAAGCGTTGCCAATTCTTCTGCGCCACCTTTGTTAAGTGTATTTTTAAGCTCTTAACTCCTGCTTCCCAGAGGCCGCCCATATGACTCCAGGAGGATTAAAATGCCACTTGATGTTGTTGTTGTTGTATCGGTTCGCTAACCCCGCTTAGGCACAGGTTTGTTCAGTCTAAGTCGCCGAGGTCATCTAGTGATAGGTCCAGGAAACGAGCTGCTTCAACGGAATTGGACTAAAGGGAGAGTGGGGTTAGATTAATTGGTTTGAGAGGGCATGTGAAGAGGTGGTTAGTGTCGAGCGGGGACTCTCCACATGCCGGGCATACGTTAGGTATGCTGGGGTCTAGTCTGGATAGGTAGGAGTTTAACCTGCTACAATATCCAGACCTGAGTTGTGTCAGGGTCACGCGGGTCTCTCGAGGCAGCTCGAGCTCGTTGTCTGCTATGGGTGGTGGTATTTCTCCGAGTACGCCATTCACTGGAAGGGAGTCCATGAAGGTGTTAACTGACTCCTGGTGAATGGCGTTCAGTGCTTGTCGATACGCCGTCCTGTCCAGCGGTTGTTGTGTGTGTTGCTGGATCGTGTCCTTAAAGTCTAGTACTCCCTTTCTGATGTCCCTAGGTGGAGGTTCAGCCTCTATTAAGTGCTTACTGGGGTGCTCCCTGCGGCAGCATCCCAATAGGAACTGCTTGCACAGCAATGCATTATGCTCCTTAACTCGTAGCATAGATGCTTCCCTGTGCAAGTGATGCTCCGGCGACATCAGGAGGTTTCCTGTGGCAGTCCTGAGGGCGGTGTTTTGGCAAGCCTGTAGCTTCTTCATCTGCGTCTCGTTCGTCGCCGGCGTACAGATCGGTGCAGCATAGTTTACGACCGGCCGGCCAATTGCTTTGTAAGTAGCCAGCAAAGTTTCTTTATCTTTACCCCAGGTGCTGCCGTCTAGCGCTTTGAGTATTTTGTTGTGGCTCTGGAGTCTTGCGGCAATTTCGGTCGTATGCGGAGTGAAGGAGTGCAGGCTGTCTAGAGTTACTCCCAATATTTTTGGGTTATTTATCGTCGGAATTTTTGTGTCATCGACCTTCACATCCAGTTCAAGCCTGTATTCCTTCGTCCAGCTGGTGAAAAGGGTAGCCGAGGATTTTGTCAGAGGTCATCAATATCCTGACCGGACGCCATTATCGTACAGTCATCGGCATACGAGGTTAGGGAAACTCCTTCTGGTGGTGGAGGGAGTTTCGATATGTAAAAGTTAAACAGTACCGGGGAGAGGACAACACCCTGCGGAACCCCCTGTTTAATTTTTCTGGGTTTAGATGTTACACCTCGGAATATTTCCGATGATTGTCGACCACTCAGGTAGCCCATGACCCACCTCTGCAACCCCGGCGGTAATAAGGATTCCTCAATGTCCGTTAGTAGCATTGAGTGGTTGACTGTGTCAAAAGCTTTTGACAAGTCCAGTGCTACTAGGACAGTTCGCGCGCAGGGTCGGTTTTGGTTGAGGCCATGGACTATCTGGGTGTTTATGGCGTTAAGTGCTGTTGTGGTGCTGTGCACTTTTTGGAAGCCATGCTGATGCGCTGCTGGGCGCTGATGGTGAGTGAAGGTCGGGAGCAGTAAAGCCTCAAGCGTCTTCGCTACTGGCGAGAGGAGAGTTATCGGCCGATAGGACTCTCCTTTGTTGGCTGGTTCCCCCGGTTTAAGTAGCGGGACCACCCTACCCATTTTCTGCACGTCGGGTATCTTCAGGGTGGTCAGAGACAAATTGAGGACCCTCGTGAGAAATTCTGCTCCCGCTGGTCCAAGATGTTTCAGCATCAGCATGCTTATTCCGTCGGGGCCAATGGATTTGGAGGCTTTCGCCTTCCCGACGACCCCCTGAACCTCCTCCCTTGAGAAATCAAGCACCGCGCTGTTGTTTGGAAGTTTGCGCATACGGCGGGTCACACGTCGTTTCGCTTTGTCTACCGAGGGATGCAATGTAAAAAGACGGCTAAAATAGCTCGCGCATCTCTTCGGGTCCGACGAGGCGCGATCACCGAATGAAATTTCCACCCGATCATCGCCTCTCGTCGGACTAGACAGCGACTTGACTATAGCCCAGAGCTTGGTTGCCCCAGAGGAGAGGTTGCAGGTCCTTAAGTGCTCCTCCCACTTTTTCCGCTTATGACTGTTAACAACTCTTTGAATCTCCGCGTTTAAATCCCTGAAATGCCACCTGATGTTTTGGTGCGCTTGTCTCATTAATATTTGGGTTCTCAAGGTTTTCATAAATTGTCATCGATCTTTGAGTAATAGTTGCGAAGCTCCGGAGCATCCGCGCCTAGAGTAAAATGGTGCGAATGCTGCCAGAAATACTTCCAAAGCAAGATCACGGTAATTAAGCATGCTCTTATGTCGTAAGGTCAACCAAAATCAATTTCTGTGCTGCAAATGCGCGGGTTAGGGTGGTACGTCCAACTGGTAGTGCTGCCATTATTTGAATAGTTTGGTTTTTTTTGTGCAGTACGCAAGTTTTGCACTGAAGAATGTAACGAGCCCGGTTCTCCGGTTCCAAAAGCGTAAGAAAAGGACAACACGAATAGTTCTACGTTACACAAGTAGCTTTATTTTCAAATGATCTACTGGCAGCGTTTTCAATTCAGCCGTATATATCTCTATTGGCAACATTTTCACGTCAGCCGTATATCTTAACCGTATCGTACTGGCACCGTTTTCACGTAAGCCGTATATCTTAAACCGTATACTTCTATCTACTCCTATTGGCAGCGTTTGCACGACACACCATATATTCTAACTACGACAGCCCAAACAGAAGTATCGTATTGTTATAGTGTCTTCCACTATTCCCTTAACCATACACACATACACACGCAATTGTAACTCATTAAGAATATTATCAATTATTAATTCCGCTAACGAAAATGCAACGGTTAACAATAATGTATCGCTAATTCCAAATGATTTTAATCTTATTTGTCCAAGTGCATTAATTCCAAAGAACTTTATTAGTTTTATTTTCAAGCGCATTTCCGCTAACGAAAATGCAACATTAGCGATTTGATACACTTTCATTAATTCCAAAGAACTTTAATAACTTTATTGATTTTATTTTCATGTGCATTTCCGCTAACGAAAATGCAACATTAGCGAATTGTTACACTTTTTGTAAATGCACCAGACAAATTTCCTAAGAATTATTGTACGAACATTTATCTTTATCAGCAATGTAATAGTATATAAGAAAGTAGAAAATAAAGAATATAGCAGTTATTGATCAAACCTTAACTCGAATCGTTTTATTTTTTGTGGGTGTTTCTCATTAGGAGAAAATAAAGTTTTTATTTTTTGTGTTCCTCATTAAGAGAAACAAAAAGTGGCGCAGTCGGTAGGATACCCGTGTATCCTCGCGTGTAAATCATTTAAAGTTATACGAGAAAGGATACGGATATTTTAATATCCATAACGGGAGAACAAAAATAAAAACGAATCCTTTAAAAAGATTTAAAGGACACATACAAAAGATAACGAGTGAACAAAAATAAAAACGAATCCTTTAAAAAGATTTAAAGAACACATACAAAACAGATAACGAGTGAACAAAAATAAAAAACTAATCCTTTAAAAAGATTTAAAGGACAACGAAAGCAAAGCGTGTGAAAGTAAAGAAATATTTAATGTGCTAAATAAACTCATATGTTGATGTACAACAAGTGTTTGATACACTAAGAGTGACTGGCAGTGTTAAAGTGCCTAAAAATTTGCAGGCAAAACAAAACCAAAACTTGTTGTGAATACCAACAGGTGTGCTGGAAATATAAGAAGTAAAAGTGAAGTAAAAACAGTAAATCAGCCCAAAAAAAAACACAAGGAAGAAGTTCAAATACCAAGGACTGCTATCAAAAACTAAGTACCTACAACTAAAAAGTAATCAACTTTAAACTTTTATATTTTATTTTCAACAATAATATCAGAAAGTAAGAATTTGATTAACTATATTATACTATTTTATATCTTAAAATGGCAGTACAGGCTGAAAACTTAATTAACAGATTAACTATAAACCCTCTGAAATATTTAAACAATTTACCTGAATTCTATGGCGATTCAGGAGACCTACAGACATTCACCACACTCATTGACAGAGTACACTCACACCTTCAAACATACGACGAAATGTCCCAACTACTTTTTTCGGATATAATAAAGTCAAAACTCAAAGGAAGGGCAAGACAAGCGATAGAAATAAACTGCTACGCGACTTCATGGGAAGAGATTAAAACTATACTACAGAATAACTTTGGAGATAGACGTTCTTGTGAAGAACTTTCTGACGAATTACGCAGCGTGACATTTAGAAGAAACACCCTAGATTTCTACAACGATATGAAAACCAAGTTACATAGATTAAATAACAAACTAGTGGCTATTTTAGGGGAAACCAAAGCGACTAGAAAGAGCGCGATAAACAACAAGCGCACTGCCCTTAACCTATTTAAAAACAAAATCCCTGAACCAATGAAGTCTATCCTATTCTGCAGAAACCCAAGAGATTTGGAACAGGCTGTGGACATACTATTCCAGGCCGGATACGCTCATGTAGGGAATAAAAACGGTAACGAGCAGGAGTTTAAAACTCATTCGGGTAATAGGTAATAGGTAATAACTACAGAAATAGTACACAATACAATATGAGAGATAGTAGGAATATAACACAACCAGACAAAATTCCCAACCAATGCCCCAAAATAATGGAAGAGACTTCCAACAACACCGACCATACCAACAACCATTCCAACAACACCGACCATACCAACAACCATTCCAACAACACCGATCATACCAACAACCATCCCAACAACACCGACCATACCACCAACCATTCCAACAACACCGCCCATACCAACAAGTAAACCCACAAAACCCCAACCAAAATCCATCATTCCAAGGACCAAATCCTAGAAACCAACCAAAACCTATGGACATAGGAAAAATAGAAGTGGCTGAATATTTTCAGGAACTAGCCTCAAAAATAAATTACCATTTATAATAATGAGGACGAGGATAGGGTTTATATGACTTATAATAGACACAGGCACAACAAATTCAATCTTAAATCCGGGGATCTGCGATCCCAAAAGAATTCATTCAACCAGTCCACTTCTAATCAAAACTCTTCAACATCAAATTTAAGTTGACGAAAAAGTCATACTACCTATATTCGAAGAATTTAGCGACACTGAAAAAGATAAAACAATGGAATTCTATATAATAAACTTTCATAAATTTTTTGACGGTC